GATGGTTATTTGAGGATCTGTAGCCAACATAAGTAGATCATTCTATTGTAAAATAAACCTAATTTTGTGAGCAAGGTTGGTTATTCCGGGAGCATCTTGGTTTCATTTTTCGCTCATCTTTTATGTTCTCCCATGTTACCTCCAGATAACCGGAGCCTGCTTTATCCTTTTCTATGCTGTGCCAAGTGACACACTTCTCATAGATACAGCTGGCCCATCTGCACCAATTACCCCTTGTCTCTTTGCCTCGAGTTCTCTCCCTGGCCAACCATCTGGTGATTCATACTTACCCACATTTAGTATTGTCGAGGATGGACTCGTTGTTCAGATGACTCCTGGTCAGTTGCATCAGCTAGTGGATAACTTAGCTGCGGGATTACCTTACTTTTTGCCAGATCGCACCATTTGCACATCAAAAGTTACATCTCTGAATTGTTCTGAAAAGCCACAATCGAAATTGCCAACAGCGATGGCTGCTGTAGAAACGCATGTATCTGGTTGTTCTCTTAATAATGAACAACTGAAGGGACGGCTGAAAAGTATGGCCAACGCAGCCAGTGCCCTGCGCTTGGGACTACGCTTGCCTCAGCCGACTGTCAGACCTATTTGTTCTCCGCCACTTGACAATTCTGGCCAATCGCCACAATCCCTCCATCGGCCTCAGTCTATATTATCTTCATCATCTCATCAGCCGTTACCAACTGGAGAAACAACCGCGAGTCTGTGTAGGCTGCGCGTCGTCTGGCTAACAGGGACAGATGAATCAGAAGGTGAAACCGAGGTAGGACCAGGCTGGGAGGAAGATTTTTGCAATCCGGGCTCACCCAGACCGCGCTGCCTGGTGCCACAAGCCTTGATGTCAAGCCATGTATATTCCTTCTGATTTCCTTACTATTATTATTATTATTATTAATATTATTTATTAGGAACTTTTTTGTAGTATTTCCAAAAAGTCTTGATAATTTATTTAATCAATTTTACTTTAAAAAAATTTCAAAACGCTATGAACTCATTGCTTCTCATAAATTACCACTGGCGTTCGCCTGAAAATCCATTCTAGCCAACCCCTTTTTGGCAAACTACCAAAACATCCTGCTAGCATGCTTAGCATTTATAGTTTTAACTTATTTCCCCCATGTTGGACTCTCCATCTGTCTTCCCTAATTGCTTTTTCTGATCCCTAGTCGGGCCTCATTACGATGGCATTATCCGAAAATCTCCCAACTTTCTGTATATATTTTTTTCGAATTAAGTATTGTTTTCGTGACTACCAGTAAATCAGTAATATGAGATGTATTCACCCATCTCATATTAC